AAAAAAAAAAAAAAAAAGAAATGTGGTACTGTATTATTAACCAAAGTATCAAATAAATATGCACAAGTCCCTAATGATACAGGAAAAAAAGTGTAAATGCATGCATATATATATATATACACACATATAAATCACAGGAATGCTGGGGAATTCACTTTAGTGTTAGAGTGCTTGCTTAGCATGCATAAAGCCCTAGGTTCAGCTCCTAATGCAGACAAGAAAAAAAAGAAAGAAAAAGAAAAAGACAAGGGGAGAAAAGACAAATCACCTTTATATAACAATTTCTCATATTTGTAAGTAAACCCTCACCTTGAATGTGGACTGTACAGTGACTCTTGCGAGAGACAGAGAGTATGAAAGAGAAAAAATAGCAACTTTATAACAGAGAAAACCAGAAAGTACGACCTCAGCCAAGAGACCCGGGCAGACATCACAAGTGACACAGTGTCACCTACATAAGGATCCTGCTTGGCAAGAAGGGCAATTTGCACCCCAGGGTTCCTTCCTAACACCCATCACCAGAAAAGCAAATTCGAATTGAAAGACAGTCCACGAAACACCTCCAAAGCAATCGCCCTCAGAAGTGGCCAGGTAGGAGCAACCCATTTTACAGTCCCTCTTCTGCGCCCCTCAGACAGAAGCTTTCTTCCTCTCCATAAACTATTTCTATTCTTAACCTCCCTTGCTCCTAGAATTCATTCTTTGGTTTCAGAGAACACTAACTCAGCATTTTGCATATCTGGCAGGTTGGGAATTTCCCTTACATTATTTGGAGTATTTCCCGTACATTATTTGGAGGTCCTACATCATATGCCCTATATCATTAGGAAAGCATCCTACAACAGAGCTCCACTCACCAGGCCCCTGTGCATGAATTTAGATGAATTTGGGATTGAATCGTGGCTGACCTTTACTAACAGGGTCTTGCTAAATTGCAAAGCTATCCAGGTTGGGCTGGAATCTGTGATCTTCCTGCCTCAGCTACCCAGAATGGTGGGATTACAGAGTACAGAGGAGGAACAAAGAGGCAAACGGAAGCTAAGAGTAAGTGACAAGGAGAGTCCGAGGAGCACCAGCCGGCCACCCAAGCATCTCCTGCCAGCTCCTCCCCAGGAAGAGAGCTACTGCTGAGTCTCACACCTGCTGGCAGATGCCACTGGAGGACACTGCCCTACTGCAGACCACCTCCTCAGTCTCCTTCCCTGAGTGGGGCAGAATGGGTCACTGAGGTCACCGTCCCAAGGCCTGGAGGAAGCCCAGTCCAGAGCCTGTGGCATTTTCTCTGGAATGAGCAGGCCCTAGGCTCCTGCTGGCCTGATCACCTCCAGTGGGATGGGACCTTGCGTGACACTGGATACTTCAGGGAAGACCACGGGCTTCCTCCTCCACAGTGGGACCAAATTCTGTTCTTACTCCTGTCCCAGACCATTGGTTTCTGACCCCTGTTGGCATATGAACATTGATGGGACGCTGGGGGGCATCTCCTTGAACTCACTGTGTAGTCTGGACCCCTCTTATGTTGAAAAACTTTATATTAGCTTAAAAAAAAAGTATCCAGATAGTAATAAAGAAGGAAAAATTGAGAAACTAAAACAGACCACAGGACACTATGGAGACAAGGCCGCTAAGTAAATGTGAAGTGGAATCCCAGGCTGGGTTTTGGAACAAAAAGGATACTCATGGGAAAATTGTGAAATCTGCACTCTCCCTGCAACTTAGATAATTAAAAAGAAAAAAAAAGGAATTCAGTAGCAAGGTACATACCTAGCATGTATAAAACCCACAAAATAGACACTTTGTGAAACCTGTTTACGTTCATTGCTCTACCTAATTCTCACACAAAATCACATATAAATTGTCGGGCATGGTGGCGCACACCTGTAATCCCAGCACTCGGGAGGCTGAGGCAGGAGGATTGCTGTGAGTTCAAAAACAGCCTGGGCTACATAGTGAGGTCCAGGTCAGTCTCAAGAAAAAAAAAATCTGATGGAAGATAAAATAGGTAAAATTTGAAGGCATAGGCATAGGCAAGGACATTCTCAACAGAACCCCAGTGGCACAAGAAATAACATGAAGAATCAACAGGGCTGGGGATTTAGCTCAGTGGCACTGCAACTGCCTTGCAACCAAGGTCCTGAGTTCGACCCTCAGCCCCCCCAAACAAAAACAAATAAAAAAACCCAACAAATGGGATCATAGCAAATTAAAGCATCTGCACAGCAAAGGAAACCACCAACAGAGTGAAAAGTACCTATAGAATGGGAAACACATTTTGCCACCTACTCCTCTGACAGAGGCTCAATGTCTAGAATATTTTAAGAATTTGAAAAAAATTAACCCCCCCAAATAAATGTGTAATAGAAAAATAAAAGTTGGGCTGGGGATTTAGCTCAGTGATTCCACCGCCTGCTTCGCAAGCACAAGGTCCTGAGTTTGATCCCCAGTACCAACCAACCAACCAACCAACCAATAAATGAATGAATAAATAAGAGCTGGGGATTTAGCTCAGTGGTTCCAATGCCTGCTTTGCAAGCACAAGGTCCTGAGTTCGATTCCTGGAGCCGAAAAGAAAAGAAAAGAAAAGAAGAAAAAAAAGAAAAGAGAGAGAAATTGAAAAACATAAAAAAACAACAAAGTATGGACTGAAAGGTTATGAACAGGCTCAAATACTATGCTGTCACCTCTGTGCTCCTGATAGGAAGTCTCCCAGCCCCTTTCACAAAGCATCTGTATGTGACATTTCTTGGTAAGACTAATACCTTCTAACACCCTCTGAAAATGCCAGATGTGAAAATTTTCGATTGAAACCCAGAGCTGAGGTTTCCACACCTCAGAATGACAGAAGGCTGGGATTCTACTTCTTGAGGACAAGCAGAGTACATGTGAACCTGTTTCCAACTTAGAATCCATATGGGCTAAAGCTGACAAGGCGTTAGATATGTACGTCTTGACAAAATTAGAAAAACGAAAGGCCAATAAGCAAATTTCAACAGAACACTCAAAAGTGAAGAAATAAGCCAGGCATGGTGGCACACGCCTGTGATCCCAGCACCTGGGAGGCTGAAGCAGGAGATTACCAATTTTGGAACCAACCCAGGCAACCTGGTGAGAGCTGGACTCAGTCTCAAACTTTAAAAAAAGCTGTGGATGTAGCTCAGTGTGGAGGCCCTGGGATAAATCCTCAGCACAGTAAGAAGAAAAGAGAAAAAGAGGAGAAAGAATAAGCCAAGTGTGGTGGTTCACACCTAGAATCCCAGCTGCTCAGAGGCTCAGACAGGAGAATTTGAGCCCAACCTGGCCAATTTCAAGAGGCTTTGTCTCAAAAACTGAAAAATAAAAAGGGGTGGAACAGTAGTTTAGTGGCCCTGGGTTCAAGCTCCAGTACCACAAAGTGGGATTGGGAAAAGAACTAAGCTCCATCAATTCGAGAACACTAAAACTCCATCTCGTGGGAAGCTTAACAGCGCCTTTAGGGGAAAAAGTTGCCATTTAATAGCAGGCAAAATACCAATGCTATTTTAACCTTATCAGGGCTCTCTTCCTGTACAGTTTTTTTTTGCAGTACCGGAGATCGAATTCAGGACTTTGCACTTGCGAGGCAGGCATTGATGCCACTAAGCTAAATCCCCAGCCCTTTCCCTGTATAGTTTTTTTTTTTTTTTTTTTTGGTACCAGGGATCCAACTCAGGTCCCTGCACTTGCAAGGGAGGCGGTGGAACCACTGAGCTAAATCTCCAGCTCACCCTGTATAGTTTTTATTTTTTAAAATTTATTTTATTATTTTTTGAGACAGGGTCTCACTATATATTCAGACTGTCCTGGAACTATGTAGCCCAGGCTGGTCTCAAACTCGCAGCGATCCTCCTGCCTCAGCCTCCCCATTGCTGTGATTATAGGTGTGTGCCACCACACCTGGCATTTTGGTTGTTTCTTTTTTTGCAAGGGGGGGGGGACCAGGGATTGAACTTGGACCTTGCGCTTGGGAAGCAGGCAATGGAACCACTGAGCTAAATCCCTGGCCCTCCATGTATAGTTTTTAAGAGGAAAAAAGACACAATGAAAACTATGCAATCATTTAGCAATACAGCACCTTTATGTGTGCATGTGTTGGGGGGGTAAGATAGGGTCTCACTAATTTGCCCAGGCTGACCTTGTTTGGGATCCTCCTGCCTCAGCCTCTGGAGTAGCTGGGATTTCAAGCACATACTACCATGCTGAACCATCTTTTCTTATTTACTTATGTGTTATTTATTTGGTGAAACTGGAGATTGAAACCACCCAAGGTCTCTTTTAAGTTGTAAACTTTATTATTCATTCATTCACTTATTTTTTGAGACAGTCTTGCTCTGCAGTTCAGGCTGGCCTTGAGCTCATTATGCAGCCCAGGCTGGCCTTGAACTCAGTAATCTTTCTGCCTCAGCCTCCCAAGTACTGGGATTACAGGTGTGCACCAGCATGCCCAGTGAGTTATAAACTTTAAAAATGGCTAATTTTATGTTATAAGAACTTTACTACAATTTTTTAAAACAGCACACTCAACCTGTATCCTACATGACCTAGTAAATGAATGTCCAAACAGATTCCCTCACTGCAGGGAATAAGAGTCTGGTCTCATGTGTAAGCTGTGCTTACTCTCTGTCTACCAGTGTCTACTCCTTCCAGAGTTCTGACACTCATTACTGGGTTAAAGAAGACGGGGATAGTCTCTCATCAGAGTCCTGAAGTACCTTCAGATTTTGGGCCTCTCCACGGATTTGGCCCTTTGTAATTTACCTTGCACATCAGAGAGCCTTACCTTCTTTTCTGAGGATGGTCTAACTGCTGGGGCCCTTAAATACAAACCCATTCTTTGGGTAGAGTCCTGGCCTGGTCATTTGTGTGAGCAAGTCCTTCCTCGGTTGCATACTAAAATGTAAGTTGAAACAAACAGGATCAAAAGATGGACGAGTTGTTGCTGTGATGCTTAGTATTTCAAATGAAAATGGCTACCCACAAAAAACAGGCTACTTAGACTGTAGGAAATAAAGCACTGGTATAAACCATGTACATCACTCTAATAGGAAACGTTCATTTCTTAGTTAACATAAAATACCATCAAAATCCCCTGTTAGTGAAGTTAGACTGAACACATACACTAAGAGAAAAAACAAAAACAAACCCAGAATCAAAGAAAAAACTGTCAAAAACACCAGCCCACGATAATTCAGGACCCAAAACTTCAGATCTCATAAATTGTGCAGTTCGAATGATGCCATAGGTAGGACTGGACAGCATGTGTTTGACCACCGAGTATTTGCAAGCCATTTACAATAAGGTCAATACACTCAGTATCTCCCAGCAATCCTGAGAGTTTTGAACAGTGTTAGATACGTCTGCAATCTCAATCTAATTCTTTCAGTAAAAATCCAAAGTGAGCAATCCAAAGAAAAGATGATTAGCCAGTACTTTGAGAAACAAAACTAGCCTTTACTAAAGCTGTAAAAGCATTGACAATAAAGAATAATGAAAGAGCAAACAAAAAAAGTTAAAGGAATTTTACAGGAAGCCCTGAAAATCCACTTCAAAGAAGAGGTTCATCGACTGAAATCTGCTCACATTTATTCATTTATTTATTTATTTATTTATTTTTTGGTTTTTTTGAAACAGGGTCTCACTATGTAGTTGAGACTGACCTGGAACTCACTATGTAGCCCAGGCTGGTCTCGAACTCACAGCGATCCTCCTGCCTCAGTCTCCCGAGTGCTGCGATTACAGGCGTGCGCCACCATGCCCAGCGATCACATTTATTTTATTGAACAGAATGACACCATTATTTCAAAATATTCTGAAAGTAGTTTGTCTTCATAAATTCTCTTAATTTCATTTATCAGAATAGACCTAACTCAGGTACCTTAACTTTGCAAGAGGGCAGATTTGATAACAGAACCCATGGCCCATATCGTGCTTTAGCTATCATATTTCTCCCTCTTTCTAAATCTTTTGTTTTTGATTTTCTGTTGTTGGGAGACAGGGTCTTACTATATAGTTCAGACTGGCCTCGAAGTCAGTATGTAGCCCAGGCTGGCATCAAACTCACAACAATCCTCCTGCTGCCTGGCTTCCCTTTTTCTAAATTTCTGCTCCTCTAATCCCATATGAATTATGGAACACAAATTTAGAGTTTTACAAAAGAAATTTTGCTGAAGGTAAAGAGAAAATATTGAAAAATGTATTTAAAGGCAATCAGCTTATAAAATGACACATAACTATTATTATAAAGTTCTACATTCTTTTATTTTTATTTATTTATTTTTGAGAAAGGGTCTTGGTATATAATTCAGCCTGGCCTTGAACTCACTATGTAGCCCAGGCTGACCTCAAACTCAAGGCAATCCTTCTGCCTCAGCCTCCCAAGTGCTTGGATTTCAGGTGTGTGCCACCATGCTTGGCTACATTCTTTTAAAAGACAATGACCAATACATCTCACTTAGCTGATTATTTTCTGGATATTTAAGTGCATAAATATCATGATATTAATAACCACAAATAAGATTAAAACTTTCCACTGAGTTAGCAACAGTGATAAATATACTATAGATAAAGATAAAGACAGATTACATTTAAATTAACACAGCTTTCTTTTTTAAGAAGTCATCCACTGATTTTACCATCTTCTGACAAAACAAATCTAACAAATCCAGAACCTCACAGTAACTGGCCATTACTTGAATAACTGAAAATAAAAAATAATAAGGCATGGACTCTGAAAAGCAGTGGAAAATGGGTGCTTTTATGTAAGAATAATATGAACCAGACAGGGCGGGGGGAATTGAGAGAAAAAAAGAAAGATATGAAATTAGGTTAGGTGTAAAGGTTTTGAATGTATTCATCACAGCTCAAATTACTGAAGGCAATACTGGAAAATATATGGGATTGGATTACTGAGGTCCCAGTGCAATATTAATCTATGGACCTAGGCTATAAATTCTAAGCACTTCAAAAATGAAGGATAAGCCAGACCTGGTGGTGCACGTCTATAATCCTAACATTGGGGTAGCTGAGGTGGGAGGATGGCCACAAGTTCAAGGCCAGCCTGGAGTATATAGTGAGACACCCCCCCACACACACACACAGCCACATATTTTCAGAAGAAATAAGTTTGTACAATCTTTCTGTTGCTGATTATACCAAATAACTCTACTCCAACATCAAATGACACTACAAACTATTAGAAAGGACTGATACAGATTGATGTTATCTTACCTCCCCTTTGAAGCACATCAGTTTTTTAGTCCTAAGTCTAGAGGCTGGGGATTCAGGCTCAGTGGTTCCACTGCCTGCCTCACAAGCACAAAGTCCCAAGTTTGATCCCGGAACAACAACAAAAAATCTAGAAACAATCCCTGTTATATGTCTGTGGTAAAATACTCCAAATGCTGGCTACAACACTTTGTAAGAGTGCTAACTCTCATCACTAATTTATGTGTCAAACTGCTTTATTTAGTGTGAATATAAATTAATTATAGACTAAAATGAAATTAACCCAGCTCACCTCTGAATTTTAAACTTTTCTTGGACTTTCTACAGTGAGAAAATAAAAAGCAAAAGTCAAAAAAATGTTTTCACCATGAGAATAAGCAACCTTTTTATTATACTTCTAGTAAAATGTTATAATCTAACAAGTCAGATAGGTAGTTTGGAAGGTAACTTTTAACGCTTTTAAGGTTCTCTGGAAGCACAGAAATTGTTCAGGGGTCAGTAAAGAATCTACTAGAGCTCAGTGGTGTGGCCGCCTGCCTCACAAGCTCAAGGTCCCAAGTTCAATCCCCGGTAACATCCACAACAAAAAGAAATATATTGACCCCTGACACAAGCTTATTTTTAGAATAAGAATCTCACTTCTAGGGAAGTATGTACTAAGCCAGTTAGTAGAAAAAGAACTTTTTACCACTTCATTCAGCTTTTCCCTATCAGTTACAGATTTTCTTCACTTATTAGAAAATATCCTTGCCTATTAAAAGCCCGTAGGACAATCACAGGGATGCAGAAGGCTTAGGGCCTCTGGCACCGCAAGAGATGCTTTCACTGGGGTCACAGCTCTCTGTGGCCTAAGGGCGCCAAAGTCAGAAACCCATCCCCACAGTGCAGCGGCCCGGCTGGCCCCGTCCCAGGCAGCACAGCAGAGGGCCTACTTCAGGGTCTCACTCCTCTGCCTTCTCAACCCTGCAGACCCAAGCGAAGGTCAGCTGGAGAATGAGAACAGTTTTCACCAGTAAAACAAGCTGCTGATTTTTGGCATAGCTGGAAAGAGATTTCAGACTTTAGGTTACTACAAGACTTGAGTCTGCTCGGATGAGTGGGGAATGAGCAGATTTCGTTCACTACTACGGAGCTCTTACTAAAACCGCTCATTCTCTAGCGAGTCAGAAAACAGCTGATGGACACAGGCAGTGGTAAAAAAGTGTCAAAGCAATGTCAGCCTCACTATATTAGCACACTGCTCATTCTCATGATTCACTGGGTCTTTTCTAAGCATGAAGCAAATGTTTTTGTTTGAAATTTTGTTTTTTGCTTTTCCCAGGTTAGGTAGAGGCCACTGACCACTTTTTGTTTTGTGGTTCTGGTGGGGACTGAGGCCAGTACTCTACCGCTGAACTACACTCCCAGCTCAAGTGTTTCACAAAAAACAAGGACTTGGCACCCAACTTAGGGGAAAGCTCGTCACACTCCACCCTATTCTAAATGAGAACACCGGTGCTGCTGTGTGTCCTGAGGAGCTTTCTCAAAGTAGCACAGGTTTTCAAACAAGCAGCAAAGGATTACATAGAAAGAACTAAGCCAGCACGGAAAAGGCCTAGTCTTGTCAAGAGGATGAATTTGAAGTCAGTGGCCTCGATACCAACTCTAGCTCTAGTTGCTGCCACAAGTAAATCTCTGAGCACATGTACACGTGTATGCGCCAGAGAATCCACTTCTCTGCCGGCTGTGTTGTTCAGGCAAATCGACTTAAATACACGAGGACACTAAGGGTATGTCTTCTTCAAGGTACTGACCTGGTAACCTTGGAAGAAGTTAAGAATTTCCTTAACTCCAGTATTGTAGGCCAAGCCCTGCATTCTGACCACCGTGCCAGGCTGTGGAGGGACACTGCTAAGGTTAGCAGCTGTAGGGAAGTAGCCAAGACTATTAGGCGAACCTGGGGGGCTGAAGGGAGAGAAAGCACAGTGAACCAATGGAACAGACAACGTTGAATGTTTACTCTTAAAAATATTAGTTACTTAAGGAAACACTTTTCTTAAGATGATCTTTCTCACACTGCTCAGACAGGGAAGAGCACCATGGCTGTTTTTTGTCTTACATTTCCACAAAAGCCAAACGATGAAAGCAGCGAGGGTAATGCAGAGCTTCCCCAAATCTCTCAGATTCCTGAAGGGAGAAGAGGAGGAGAACTAAGCCTTCACAGCCACTCAGCCGGAGTGCCGCTTCCAAAGCCCAGCTCACTGATGATTAACGGGCGAGGTGTAAGAGATGCTAAAGCAGGAAAAGACAGGAAGATAAAGAACCGAGAGGAGCCATAGCCACAGAGACCAAAAGTAGCCAAAGTGATTGCTCTGAAGGATGGACTGTTCTACCCGCAGGTACAAGCAAATGTGCAGCAAAGTCTGAAAGCACCCGTGAGTATAAAAAGCGAGCAGTGGGAGGATTGGAAGGGATACAGAACAAATTAAATTATCGTCATTAACACGAGGGGTAGACGTATTAATGGGTCCTCCTGATGTTGTCTACAGCAACACCGCCACGGGACACGAGCCCAGGGACACCCAACCTCAGGCACCCCGTCAGGGTCACCAGTAAGTTCAACTCATCCACTAATTAGTTCACCAGCTTAACCCCCATTGTTTTCTACCACAATTGGTGGCCAAATAATTATAATTAAAAATGTACACAGAAAAATTTTCAGAAGTCATTAACTTAAGCAATACAAACTTCCAACTTTAGATCATTATTAACTTCTATTCATATTTTGAAGTAATTGTTCCATTTTTTAAAAAAAATTTTAATTTTTAAAAATTTTACTAGTACATGTCTGCAGTACATAATGACAATATTCACCGAATTTGCACATATACATATCTCAATTCCTTCTTCCCCCTTCCTCACCATCTGTATTTTTCATTTTATTTGCCAGCATTGTCTTTTATGAGGTTAATTATAATAAACACAGACTGATAGGCAGAAAACATAAAACACGTTAAGATAATTATACTACATCAAGGTGCACTTTTTTTTTTTTTTTTTGGTACCGGGG